TTTGTTGCTTGCTGTTCTGTTAAATTCTGCTATTTTGACTGGGGTGAAATGATATCTCATAGTTGTTTTAATTTGCATCTCTCTTAGGGCTAGGGATTTTGACTCTCAACTCCATTTTGTCTGGTTCATTATTCTCCATCAATACCATAGAGCCTACCCTCCTTTCTCAAATACTTTAATGCTTGAGAATTCTCATATTTCATTACGACTTCTCTTTTCCTTCAGACACTCCAGTTCCTCAGAAGCACAGAACTATACCACCTGCTATTTCTACTGCTCTATTAACTTATGATCTCAAAATCACATTCCCTCATTCATTGAAGATTTTAGCACCTAGTTCACGTAAAGCATTCCCTCCATCACTACTTTTGTGATTCCAATACCTAAAAGCATGATCCATCCAAAAGTGTGGTCTTATTTCCTTGGTCTCTTCATTCCCAACATTCTTTTCTTCAATTGGCCTCTGTCCTCCAGTCACACTGTGTGGTGGCAGAATTTTTACTTTCCTATCCATTGCCTTAGACCTAGCCAGGTAAGGTGGGAACATGTTAAGTGCTCTACCCACCACCCTTAGCGCCTTTAAGGAGTATGGTCTACAGGTGCCTCAACTGCAAACAAGTGCATCCCAACTGATCAGCATCTTCAACATCATCAACAGCTGTGAAACCAATATAGGAAAAAGAGCTATCCAGACTATGATGAGACTGATGAGGCATGATCTGACAGCACCACTGAGACAGAGCCAGACTTAAAGGTTTTGCTTACTAAACAACTGAAGGAAGAGTTGACTTGTGTCTGTTATGCAATAAAGTTTGCAGGACAACAAAGGAAACCAGAGGCTTCTTGCATTTATGTTGCAAGACTGAACCTGGACTGTCAATTTGCTCCCTGTTGCCACAATTATTCCATTCTGGGCCTAACTAATTCGCTACTCAAATTCATAGCAAACACAACATAAAGAATATTAAATGTCCTTGGGCACATGGCCACAAGGGACCAGTCCTTGGATAAGGACATCATGCTTGGAAGAGTGGAGGGACAGCACAAGAGAGAAAGACCCCAAATGAGATGGATTGATGCATTAACTAGGGCAATGGGGGAGGGGTGTTGAAGTCATTGAGACTGGCTCAAAACAGAGCCAGCTTCAGAGCTGTTATACATAGGGTTGCTATGAATCGTAGGCAACTCAACGGCACATGACAACAACAACAATATGGTTCTATATTATCTATAGCAATGGATTCTGAACTCAATAGATTCTTCCACACACTAAGAATGGTAGTGGAATAAGTAGAAAGAAGTATAGGAACATGAGAGACATGTCTAACTTCATAGGAATTGGTTTTCATTGTAGATGCTGTTTAAGTGGACAGTTCCTCTTTGCAAAGTTTGTAAAGGTTAGATATGACCATCCTCATGCAGCCCTTGCTCTTTTTATACCTACTAATCAATATAAGTACTTTGAATATTTTGCCTCTTCCATGAACTAAGATACCAAACAAGAACAATAACAAAATGCACTAAGTAAGTGAATTCTGATGGCTTAGTGGTAAGTAGTTGTCCTACCACCTCAAAGGCATGGCATGTGGTTCAAGTCCACCAGCTGCTCCATGGGAGAAACATGAGTAATCTCCTCTCATGCAATTTACTGCCTCTGAAAACCTAACAGAGGGTCAACTATGAGTCGCTTCTGACTTGATAATACTTAACAACACTAATGAACTAAATTGTCTATGAAGCAGATGATACATTATTTACCTATATTCCAAACATTAGCAAATATGTAAAGTCCCAGTCTCACAAGATGCCATCCTTGGTCTACATGACAACAAACCAAATGTTTTTCCTTTCTACTACATGACTCTTCCTGCAACCAGTGACAAACTGAGAAACCTGGGAAAGGCACTGAAAATATGTATTTAAGATATATGGATCATTCCATACACAAAAACAAATTCAAAGTGGATTATGGATCTAGGACTAAAACTAAAGACTATAAACTTTATTAAAGAAAAGCTTGGAAGAACTCTAGAAGGTCTAATGCACAAAATAAACAGTTCTTCCAAGCATTCTGGAAAATCAACAACCAGGAGAGGATAAAATAGATGAATGGGACCTTCTAAGAATCAAATCCCTATACACATCCAAAATCTTCTCCAACAGGGTAAAAAGAGAAGCCACAGACTGGGGAAAAAATATTTGATAATGACATGTCAGACAAGAGACTTTTATCTAGAATGTATAAAATACCTGAGCACCACAATAAGATAAAGGTAATAAAAGATAAATAATCCCATTGAAAAATGGGCACAGGATATGAACAGACACTTCACCAAAAAAAAGACATTCAAAAGGCAAACAAACACATGAAGAAATGTTCAAAATCCCTAACTCTAAGAGAGAAGCAAATCAAAACAACTATGAGATATCATCTCACCCTAGTAAGAATAACAAAATTTAACAGAACAGCAAACATCAAATGCAGGTGAGGTTGCGGAAAAACTGGAACCCTTATTCACTATTGGTGGGAGTGTAAAATGGTGCACCCACTATGTAAGGCTGTATGGCACTTTCTCAAAAAAGCAGCAAATGGAAATACCATTTGACCCAGCAATTCCACTACCGGGAATTTACCCTAAAGAAACCGTAACCGGGGAGACTTCTGCGCGTGCGCAGTGAGGGTCTGTCTGCCCGACCTTGAGCAAGGCCTGCACCATCATGTTTTCTCGGGCAAACCTCGTTGTCTCGGCCTGGGCTGTGCAGCCACAATGGACCCAAGTTCGAAATATGGCAACTTTGAAAGATATTACCAGGCGACTGAAGTCAATCAAAAACATTCAGAAAATTACCAAGTCTATGAAAATGGTAGCAGCAGCAAAATATGCCTGAGC